ACTGTAGTACCTTCTACCCAGGAACAATTGTACAATGGTTCCAATAGGCCTCCTGTGGTAGAGAGGGTCTGGGCTAATGGATATTCTCTAAATTGTCTGTATGATAGTGGTTTGTCATACGGCTGTGTGGTGAGGCCAGAGTTTGTAAAACCTGATCAGTATACTGGCAGATTCATAGAGCTCCAATGTGCCACATTGGATGCTAAACCTTTAAACTTGCCTATTGCTAAGATTAAGGTCCGTTCAAAGTATGTCTCGGGGGTAATTGAGGCTGCAGTGCTTGAACACTGTACCTTTGATTTAATTCTTGGCGCTACTTATGTATTTTTAGCAGAGCCGAAGAAACCTTCAGAGCATCTTGCTGCGGTGACCACCCGAGCACAACATAAAAGTGCCTTAGAGGATTCTCCTCATGTAAATCCTCTTCCTGAGGAAATTAAGGTGGCCCAAAGTAGTGACCCAACCCTTAAGGCATGTTTTAAAAAGTTAACTGCAAGTCACAATCCCCCTTTGAAGAAAGAATTCTTCATGAAAGGTAAGTTGCTTTACAGATGGGCAAGTGACAAGTATACAGAGCACAGTCAACTTGTAGTACCCAAAACATATAGACAGCAGATTCTCCAGATGGGGCACACAATAGCCTATAGTGCCCATATGGGAATTCATGCAACGACACAACGCATTGCCTGTCATTACTTTTGGCCAGGTATGTCAGCAGATATCATGCGTTATGTCAAATCCTGTCCGGAGTGCCAGAAGGTAGCTCCCAAAGGCAGGAATGCACCAGTCGGACTGGGGGAAACCCCTGTCACCTCCACACCTTTTGAAAGGGTGGCGGTCGATTTGGTTGGACCACTTCCTCTCACAAAGAAGAAGAATGCTTACATATTGACCTTGGTCGACTGTTGTTCAGGGTATCCGGAGGCTGTTGCACTTCGGAGGATTGACAGTAAGACTGTGGCAGAGGCATTGATGAGCATTTTCACCAGAGTGGGATTCCCTTCGCAGATATTGACAGACAATGGATCTCAGTTTAAAGGGAAACTAATGGAGGAAGTGTTTCAGATAATCAAGTCTCAACACATTTGCACCAGTCCATACCGACCCCAAGCGAACGGCCAGAATGAGCGGTTCAATGGAACGTTGGTATCGCTTCTGAGAAGATTAACCCAGGAAAAGCCAGAGAGGTGGGACGAGTATCTGTCTGCAGCACTATTCGCCTACCGGGAAGTACCCAATGCCTCTACTGGATTTCCACCTGCGACCTTGGTGTTCGGAAGACCCATTTCTGGACCCTTGGCCATTCTCAGGAAGACATGGACAGACGAGGGGGCAGATGATTCCTTGAAAACCATATCACAGTATGTGCAGGAAACTCAAGGAAAGGTTAAAGCTAGGGTGGGACCTGGCCAAAGAGAACTTGATTCGTGCACGTAAGAGGTACGCTGCACATTTCAACCGGAAGACGAAGGAACGATGTCTTGAGGTTGGAGATAGGGTGCTTTTGCTGCTACCATCAGGGAAGTCTAAGTTAGAGTTAGCTTGGGGAGGCCCTTATACGGTGGTAGAGAAGATATCCAGGATCCATTATAAGATCAACATTAAAGGTAAGTCAAAGGTCTATCACATTAATCTCCTCCGGAAATACAACGAGAGAGAGGTAAGTGACACACCGACCCTCTTGACACTTTCTGTAGCTATGGAGGTGGAAGGTGGAGAAGCCACAGCTGTGGAATATCCTCTTCACCCCAGGGAGACCTATAAAGATGTAGAGGTTAACCCAACTCTCTCTGTCTCTCAGAAACAAGCTATAGGACAACTCTTGTCAGAGTATAACTCTGTCCTGAGAGTTAAGCCAGGGCAAACTTCATTATTGGAGTATGATACGACATTGGTTCCTGTTGAGCCTTTCAGTCAATGCCCTGTGCAAGCTCCTCTTTTTAAAGAGGAATGGAGTAAACCTCCAGACCATCAGGAGGACCAGAAGGTGAAGAATTTTCAATTCACACCAGGGTTCCTTCCTGTGTTTGTTGGAGCACATAGTGACGAGGGGAGGATTATCCTTCCGAACCTCGCGAAGGATCAGACGGGAGGGATTATATCCCACATGCCTCGACGACCTTCCTGTGTGACTACTGATGTAGGAGACACACCGGTATATTTCCTGAATATGACAGGAGTACCAGGATGGTGTGTAGGTTTATTCAGCCAACCCGATCGGGGGGTTCGGTCTGAACCTACATCTTTGCATGTACCTGGCAGGGATCAGTGATACATGGATGGAGTCATCAGTCTTAGGTCTTCAGGGCCATCGACTGATTCTATATAGATTCCTTGTTGAGTAATATTGTATAGTGGTCATAGGTTTCTCTATTTCACATGAATTGTCATTATTGTATATATTTCATCTGTCTCTGAGAGGTTGGTTTGGTCAACCCTTTGATTCAGAGCAGATTTCTTGAGCCGCCATCCCTTGTCTGATAATTCACAGACTGAAGGTGATGAGCAAGCTGAAAGTAGTGAGTCCATAGATGTGTAGATGGCTGATCATTTTTCATTCGCGTAGTACGCTCTTCCCTTTGGGGGGGGGGGGGGGGGGGGTACTGTCGTGAAATGATAGCCATTACGCATCGGTCTGTAAGGCTGATAACCTGTCTTACCTGTAATCTGCACAAAATTCAAACTTGGACTCGCCCAGAAATATATAGTCCCTTATATCTATATATATAGGCCTGTATTGGACAACATTATTATGTCTGCCTTTTCTGGTTACTTTAACTAAACTCCACTTTTAAATGTATATCTCTTGGAGATATATTAAGGGAGTTATTTGAGGTTTCTTGGAAACCGATTTACTCCTTGCCCAAGTATACAAGGGACTTCTTTTGTACCAACGCCTGAAGTGTCTAAGTGACGCTATTCTCCTTGCCAGCTTCTCAAGCGTCCAGATGTGTTAATCTGTGCCTGTATAAATTTCACTTTTCAAGGCAATCTGGAATGTCTCAGTTTTTACATATGCTTGGGTAAGTTAATTATAGTTTACGAGTACCTAGAATGATGTCTGTAAAGTAGTCACTGCTGTAGAGAAATCAGTATCGGCTGTGTGATCTCACTTAGTTCGACCGTTCTTGATCGCTAGAGAGCGGATTCGAACGTAGATCTTCCACTGTACAGACTAAATAGCTTATGCCCTCAATAAACCACCCATACTGATAAAACTTAATACCCTTACAAAGATGTACGTTTTAAACTAACTAAGAAATCTGTACATACGAAATGGGGACAGAATTGGGTCAGGGCTTTGTTAATCAAAGTATGTGTGTGCTTGACCCAGATCAATGAGTGCTGGGGCGGTTGGGAAAGCTAGTGAATGCAGGTACTGACAGTAAATATTGGTGTCTGTGTGCAGAGTGAGGGGGAGAGGGAGAGAGTGATATATGTGTTAGACCACTTTATCTATCTCCACTGTATATCTGACTTGCCTTCTCTTGCACTAAACAGACAGATAAATATAGGAGACTTATGTCTTTTGGTCTGGAGAGGCAATCTGAGGAATGAAACAGGAGAGCAGGGAGGAGTCAGCAGATGGGGGTTGATGACTGATGCTTGCTCTGTCTTTCCTGTCAAGATGTTACCCTCTTGGTGATGACTAATGTTGAGTTATTTTCTTGACAGGATGTATCTTTTCTGAAGAGCTGGCAGAAGATTCACAGTCCAACCAACATCCACCAACCATCAAACCACCAGAAACAAACTGTTACCCACCAGCTAACACCTGTGAAGGTTCCTGACATCTCCAACATGTGGGAGATGGTACCTCAAACAGCTACCAGTGCTAGAGCTTAGTGTGGCTCAAAGACATTGTGTGTCCTTACTGGTGATAGAGACTTGCTAAATACCGGTACAGTTGCTGTGTCCTCTATGGTGAAGTACTCTTTCACTACCTGATCCAGTTGAGCAGAATTACCAGAGTCAAAGACAGTCGAATCATCAGGAGCTGAGGGAGGCATCATAGACAGAAAGAGGCTAAGTGCAGTTTGATGCCTTATGTGCTTTATTCCTCACAGCTCCTAGGTTTCCCAATGATGACAAGATGTCATCTCCAAGACCTTCTGTCTGTGTAGTATCTTTGTGATTTGGACATGATATCCTGAGATCTAGCCTAGGAGATCTGGCATTTGTCTCACTTTTATATATCTATTTTATATTGATTACATACATTCATTTTCATGGCTGACTTAGGTGTCGTAGATACAAGCATTGGAAATGCGATCTTTCAGAAACATTCTTGGCATATCGTTCAAAAGGACCAAAACATTTCAAAAACTAAGCTATGAGAGCACTTCGCCGTATGAACTAACCATTGCACTTTCAGAAACATTGGTTCAAAAAGACTAAATAATGAGGTTCGCCGTATGACTAACCAGCACATTGGCAACTATGAATCTCTTTTAACTGCAATTAAAAGATGGAAAATACAATGGTACAGACATGTAATGGGGTCTAACAGTTTCTCGAAAACAAGGCTTCAGGGTTCAGTAGAGGGGCAGAGACGAAGAGGCGGACCAAGAAAGTCTAGATACAGAACTTGATTGACTGGACTGGCCTTAAAGGTTAATGTAAAGCTGAGAGGATCGACTTTATTGAACCGGGCTTTATCCGTATGGCTCAGTCTCTCTCTGCAGAACAGTTAGCTGTCTGCCGATAGCATCGCACAGAGCACGACCTCGGCATCTCCCGCGACGATCCTTATGGACCTCCGTAAAAATTGCACCGAACGGCGCCACCGTACAGGAACCCATTACGTTCAGAGCGCGGGGCAAATGGCTTGACCCCTTCGCCACTGAGATCTCAGGCAGGCCTTAATTAAACATGCAACCATAAAGTCCTTTGCACCTGACCATGAAATGTTGAGGGAACTGATCAGACAGTCCAGGAAACTGGTTACCAACAACACGCAGCGCACAAGGACGATGATGATGATGATGATGTCAACTTACCCAAAAACATCCTTGACCTCCTGGAAGTCCGGGTGAACGTAGCCATCGTACGTGGCGGTTGTCGAGCAAGTGAAAAAGCTGGGCAGAGCACTCCAGCAGACGGCAACAATCACAAGGAGTACCGTCGTTTGAAATACTGACATGGCTGAACACTCTGTTGAAGACAGTATCAAATAAATTAAGCTGCTTTATTGCTGTGAGATATATTCACCGGCTGTAAACACTGGCGGGAAGTTTTGGTGGTTCGTCCACTTGTGGACTTCAGTCTTGTCTCCAGAACTTGAGTTTTACATGCATATTCCCACTACAAATCTTTCTTAGTTGTATGCAGACTGTTGGTTCCTTGCCTGTCAGGCAGACGCACGTAATTAGTCGCTTTTAATGGCATGCCTAATATGGGCAGTGGGTCTTTTCTTTTGCTCCCCCTTCCCCTGATGTAGGGCACTGGAACCCAATCGAGGATAGCCTGTTGTTCTGACCATGTTACCGTAGTTTGTTCTATAGTTACAGTGTGTAAAGAGAGTAAAGATCCCTGAGGCTCATCGGGTATGGGCAGAGCGTCCCATATTTTTTACAGACCAATCGGCACTCGGTGGGTAATGTGGTCAGCATTACGCCGGCCGTCTTTACTTCACCAGGACAGCCATCCTGGTACCCATTTGAGGCTGGGACGACCTGCGACGTCCCATACCACGATAAAAATCTACGCAGCCTGCAGTGGATTTCGATCGCGGTTCGTTGGATTACGAGTCGGACTCGCAACGCCTTAGCCACGGACGCCGCATAGTTACAGTGTGTGCCTATGTGTTTATTTATTATAAGCGCTTCTGTATCTACCACTCAAAATCAACCCACCCACATTGGACACCTGGTTATTTTATAACATTAGGGTGTACAAATACTAGTGTAATTTTTTTTTTTTACAGGTAAAGATTGTGTGGGATTCACTCCTGTTGTATTTGCACCCAAATGATGGCTCTTTGATATATATTTATATATATTTATATATTTATGTGTGTGTGTGTGTATGTGCATGCATGCATAAATATATATGCATGCACATACACACCCCACATTTAACTGTCCGGCTTCGCCAGAGATAGTTAAAGAGAAGTGTATTCTCCTGTCCTCTGCTTCACCTTTGTTTCCACCGCTTCTGAATGTTTAGTTCATTGACCCTAAGTGTCCCTGAGACTCCTACCACTGTCAGTAATCCTAACATCAGTACGCGCTGTGCAGGACTTGCAAACATTTTGTGGAATAATGAATCTTTCGCCGTCTGTCCAGAAGAGAATTTATAAACTAATAAATGATAGGATAAAAAGGGCTGTTAGCTCTTGGATTTCAACCTTTAAAAGCTAAATCATTTCATTTAGCTTATTACATGGCTGTATCATTTTCTGAATTATGTTTTGTAAAAATGATGATTGGTTCTACATTTCATTTTTTTTTTTTTCAAGACAAATAATTCGGAAAGAATATGAAGGATGTGGGGATGAAGTGATTTTTTATTTTTTTTTTATTTAATGAAAAATATCGGTGTATCTACTCACCGCAAAGTTTCTATTACAGTAGAACCTAAATTATGCTTCAAAAGGTACCGGCACAACCAGTGCCTAACCGCAGACAAAAAAGAAACCTTGAATGGATATATGATTTTTAACTGTCAGTGTATTTGCATGAATCTTTCTCCGAGCTGTTTGCACACGGCGCACCGAACTATGAGTTCCTATAGGGTTTGGGGGTGGGGGGGTGTTTTTTCTAAGATAATCACGTTACTAAGGACTCCGACAGAGAAGACGACTTTTATCGTTGGCTATGTTTGGAAAAAGCTAGTGAAAAGTTGACACTGCAGACGTGTTTTTAACTGAATACTCTATATATTTTATTCTTTACTTTAATTATCTGTTTTTATTTTATCTATTTATCTGTCTATCTATCTATCTATCTATCTATCTATCTATCTATCTATCTATCTATCTATCTATCTATCTATCTATCTATCTATCTATCTATCTATCTATCTATCTATCTATCTATCTATCTATCTATCTATCTATCTATCTATCTATCTATCTGTCTATCTGTCTGTCTGTCTGTCTGTCTGTCTGTCTGTCTGTCTGTCTGTCTGTCTGTCTGTCTGTCTGTCTGTCTGTCTGTCTGTCTGTCTGTCTGTCTGTCTGTCTGTCTGTCTGTCTGTCTGTCTGTCTATCTGTCTATCTATCTATCTATATCTATCTATCTATCTATCTATCTATCTATCTATCTATCTATCTATCTCTCTGTCTATCTGTCTGTCTATCTGTCTATCTATCCGTCTATCTATCCGTCTATCTATCCATCTGTCTATCTATCTGTCTGTCTATCTGTCTGTCTATCTGTCTGTCTATCTGTCTGTCTATCTGTCTGTCTATCTGTCTATCTATCTATCTATCTATCTATCTATCTATCTATCTATCTATCTATCTATCTATCTATCTATCTATCTATCTATCTATCTATCTATCTATCTATCTATCTATCTATCTATCTATCTATCTATCTATCTATCTATCTATCTACTCGTCCTTCCGTCCATCCGTCTGTCTTTTTATCCCCTCCCGCCTCTCTAGCCTGACCTTTATAGAAAGTCATATCAAGTGCCATGGCTAGCGGCACAAACCATCATGTCCTCCAACCACTTGAGAATGATAGCGTCTTAGTCTTCACACGTCTATTGAAGCTGTCAACTTCGTTGTGTTGTTTCTGTTTCATAATGTATGTCTTCGTATGTGTCTGTGTGCGCGTGTGGGTTTGTGTGTGTTGAAGACAATGTATATGTAATTTTAACCCCTAGCAAGTACGTTTGGATTTACATTTAATTACGTTTTGTTAATTACATTAATTTAATTGTCACTACTGTCTGCCAGCATCATCTGTATGCCACTTTTCGGTCAAAATGGACGCTAGGCACGGCCACTGTTTGGAGCCGTGGCAAATATTTTTTTTTTCTTCTGCCAGACGGTGGTCGTTGCATTTTTGCTTCATTTGTAGATTGAAAGGATATAGTTTCGTCGCCCAGCTTTTGAGTTGAGTGCATGGCGTGACACTGTGAGCTGCGTTTTTAATTTGGAATGTTTTTTTACTATGACCAACGTGGTGGTGTGAATTGTAGATTCAGAAAATGGCGAGATGCCTGTTGTCGCAATATTGATGGTGTCATTATGTTATTAAAATTGATCGCGTTTGCAACTGCTGATCTGTTGGTGACTTCTGCTACCATCCATGATGAACTGCATTTCTAATGTCGGACTGTTTGTGTTAGCACTTCGGATGGCTACCGTATGCTTTTAATGCGTGTGTATGCTAGTGTATATGCTGAGACAGCAGTCTATCAATCTTTCCACAAGGGACTGTGAAAACATTCTGTGTGCTTTTCGTTGGCACAGGAGAGGAGCAACTATGGGGTGACCCGTTTGCTATACGCTGAAACTAAGATTACCAGATCACGTGCCTTGCCTGCTGGCACAAGCGTTCAAGCATCTAAACAGATCTGGATCTTTGGTGTTCTGGATCAGTTCCACTGATGATATTCCTTTTTGCCAGTGTCTTGAGCCATCCACCATAATTGTTCTTGGCCTGCCTCTGTCTCTTCTACTAGTGATCTTACCAGTCGTCACAATATTTTCTAGTGCTCCTTTTCTCCTCACATGACCAAACAACTTTCTGTCTCCACTACTGTCTGTACTTACTAATTTTAAAGGCTGTGTAGACAGGGGGTCGTGAGCCTGCGGATTTAGAGCCGCATGGCTGATGCTGTCGTCACGGACTGTACAGATTAGGATGTTTAATTTTAACACCAACACCGACAGTAATTCAGTTAATGGAATATCTGAATTTACTTTCCAACCACAGAGAGTAACAATACAGTTTGTTATTGCCTGGACTGAGAAATAAAAGTTATTTTTTTTTTATTTTATTATTTCTATCAATGAAAATATATTTATATCCAACAACAACAATAATTCCATTGCTGAGAAAGCAGCCTGCTACTGTGTAGGCAATGTTAAGTGTTGATTACAATTATTTGTCAAGTCAAATGGTGCATCCAGACTGTGTTAACTGTTTCCAGAGTGAATTGTCGCTTTTAAGAACAAAAGGGCATTGACTGAAGAGAGACACTACATACTGTCTCTGGCAGAAGGTATCGGTATGTACAGTCTGTGACAGAAGGTCTTCAGGTGTAATGTTTGAGGCAGAAAGTAAGTACTGCCCGGGTAGACGGAATAAGTTAATTCAGTCAGTCGGTGTCAATGTATCTGCGCTGACTCTGTTCTGGAGTATCTTAGTTCTGTTTTATCGACGCACTGAATGAACTATGTGTTCCTACATACTGAAGACTGAAGTGTTTCTGAAACAGTCGTTTTACGAGGGACAACCTCATGGGAGCTCATGGGAGCTGGCAGAAGAACAGATGGGATTTAGGAGAAATAGAAGCTGCACAGATGCAATCTTCACACTTAAACAGTTAATAGAAAAGAACATTGAATACTTATTTGTAGCATTCGTAGACCAGGAGAAGGCATTTGACAGAGTCGACAGACAATTATTATGGAAAATAATGGCAAGATATGGAGTAAGCGAACACCTCATCGAAGTGTGCAAAAGTTTATACAGGGATTGTAGAAGTGTAGTTAGAATAAATCAGGGAACATCTCATCCTTTCACAGTGACATCGGGAGTAAGACAGGGGTGTGTCTTATCACCACTGCTGTTTATTACCTACATCGACAGTATATGCAAGAATGCCAAGCCCATGAATGAAGATCTTAGTAAGATCAACGAATTACTCTTTGCAGATGACCAGGCCTTGAAATTGCAACAACATCTAACATCCATGAATGAAGAATGTAAAACAAATAATATGAGAATCAACACTGAAAAGACAGAAGTAATGTCAATAGGAAAAAAGAAGACAGATCTAAACATAGCAATAGAATACAAAGGCATTAAACAGGCATCTGAGTTTAAATATCTGGGAACTACATTTACCGAAGATGGGAAATTGGATAAAGAAATTGACATTAGATGCAGTAAAGCAAACCAAGTATTGGGACAGCTAGCCCCCCTCTTACAGCATAAGACAATCCCAATCAGCACAAAGAGACATCTTAT